TCGAACCTGGATCAAATCTATACAAAAAAAGACACTAACCACATTGTCATATGAGATATTATGATTTAAACTTAAACATAAATATATATAATATACTATTATATAAATAATATATGTAATATATTGTTATATAAAAAGTTATATAAATTTTTTTTTTGAGCCATTTCAAGCCAAATACGAGCAAACAAACTGTTGTTCGTGTTTGACTCGTTTACATTTCGAGCTTAAAAATTTGTTCGTGTTCGGCTCGTTAGGCTTAACGAACAAGCTGAACACGAGCTGCTTAACGAGCCGAACACGAGCTGTTCAAGAACAACGAGCCAAATTGACAGCCCTATTCCCTACTTTCCCAACGCTGCTTCAAGTGGGGGGAGATAGATTTTTTGGACACTACTCCTTTTCTAACTCTATTGGATATGTCATCTACTCCAGCCATTGCTTTCGAGGAACCAACAGTTTCACTGGATTCACCATCTACCAGACTAACATCCCATCCACCCACTCTCCGTGTCTATACCCGACACATCAAACCCTCGGTTGAGATTTGTCTCAATTCCCCTACTCTTGAGCCCGCTACCTCTTTATAGGACTTGGAATCTGCCCCAACCAACATCTTCGACACTACACTTGCGGAGATTGCTCCTACTACTTCGAATGAGGAGGTGAGTTCTACCATTGAGGTACACAATCAGGTATGCCCTTTTTATTTCATGACAAAATATGCCTCATTCCACAGCTTGTCGCCAACTTGTAAAGCATTTGCCACTTCTTTGATGGATCGTCTTCCATCTACTGCTGTGGAAGTATTGGTCGACCCTTCCTAGAAGGCTGCAACAATGGATGAAGTGAATGCCCTTCGGCGAAATCATATGTGGGATGTTGTTGATCTTCCTTGGGAAAAGAAATTTTTTGTTTGCCAGTGGATCTTCAACGTCAAATTTAACTCTGACGTAACCTTTGAATGCAATAAAACACGGTCAGTCACCAAAGGCTATTCACAAACCTATGGAGTTGACTTTGAGGAGATTTTTATTCGGTTGTGAAATTGAACACCATTAAGGTTTTATTAACCCTTGCTATGAATCTAGATTGGATCTTACTCCAACTAGATGTTAAGAGTGCCTTAACGACGATCTCATGGAGTTGTATGGGTCTTTATTTCTTGGTTTTGAATCTACTTCTTTCCAGGAACAAGTGTGTCGACTGCAGAAGTCCCTCTTGGGACTGAAGCAATCCCCTCATGCCTGGTTTGACAAGTTCATGCAGGTGTTAGTGAGCCATGGGTTCTCTCTGGCCTAATCAGATCATATTCTATAATTTCGACATTCCTCTAATTAAAAAATGACCATCATCGTCGTCTATGTTGACGATATTGCACTCATAGGTAATGATATGCCAATCTTGGAACCCCTTAAAGGCATCATCGCCACATTCTTTGAAATGAAGGACTGAGTCTCTCCAATACTTTTTAGGCATCAAAGTTGCTCGGTTCTCTTAGGGCATTTGCCTTTCCTAACGCAAATATGTGATGGATCTATTAACAAAGATTAATCTTTTACTTTGCAAACTAGTGGCTGTTCCAATGGACCCCAATGAGAAATTAGCTAATGTTCTCAATGTTGTTTCTATGAACATGACACTATCAACGCCTTGTGCAGAAACTCATTTATCTGGCCTATACGCGCCTCGATATTTGCCACACGGTAGGTATTGTAAGTTTGTTCATGCATGATCCATATGAGCACCATTTCACAGCTGTTCACCTGATCTACTACTACTTAAAAGGCACACCGGGCTTACGTTTGTTTTTCTCATGCCACACCTTTCGTTTTATTGCAGTTTATACTGATGCTGATTAGGTCGGGTCCGTCAATGTTCGGCGATCTACCTTGGGTCATTGCTCATTCGGGAATCTTTGTCACGTGGAAAAGCAAGAATCGTTCGTGGTTGCCCGGAGCGGTGCAAAAGCCGAGTTTTGTTCAATGTCCTTAAGAATCTGTGAAACTTTGCGAATTACGTATGCCGGTTTCTGCTCCTTTACAGTTATTTTGTAATAATAAAGTCATAATTAGCATTGCTATTATCCGATTCAGCATGACCACACCAAGCATGTACAAATTGACCATCACTTCATCAAAAAGAAGCTCAATTTCGGAGAGATTTGTGTTTCATTTATCTCATTCAGTAGTCAACTCGTAGATATCCTCGCAACTAACCTTCCTCGGCCGTTGTTTGATGACTTCAAATCCAAGTTGAATATAATTGACATCTATGCTTCAACTTGATGGAGAGTATTAGAAAATATCAGAAGATTTACCAGAAGATTTTAGAAGATTTTTCTATTTATTTTGTTGTCTTTCATGTTATTTTTTTTAATATGTATTTTCTAGCTTATAATTTTTCTCTTTTATCTTTTGGATGTTATTGGGGAAGATTTGAGTATTATATCTTTCCTTTCCTATACCCTTTTGTCATGCCTTTCCTATACCTTTGTATCATGTATTTATACCACTTTTGTTGCGCATTAAGATTATTCCGCTCCATTCTCAAATCTAACGAGCTCTTATTTCTTTTTCTCTTTCATAATAACATTTTGAGATCATCTTCTATTTCTAATTCCTCTGATGTTTAACAAACTATCCTTTTTCGATGATTGTACGAGTGTGTTTTTAATCTTTTTACCGAAATTTAAAAGCACCATGAGTACCATCTTTCTCACCTTTTTTATAATAAATTAAAATATGTTGGTATTGAAATAAAGTGTCAATTATTGACATTCGTGCGTTATCCGCAAAATTTATTCAATTAAGTGCAATGTTAACAATGAACTACAAACATGATATCACGTGAAATCGACTTCATAACTCAATCACAGTAAGATTTATTCAATTGTTGTCGATCTCACAAAAAAAAAGGCCGAACTACATCAATGTATCTGAAAGCATCAAAATTATCTTAAAAGGGAATTCAAGTTGTTAAAATTATCACCTGAGATGCAGACAAAAAATTATTGTCTAGATGAGAATGAGAAGATGCATAGATGACCTAAATTCACACTACAAAATCTTTGACATGTGCACAAAGCAATAGATTTTTGTGGGGCTATTGACATAATGAAATTTAAAAAATGTATTTATATTTATATTTATATTATTAAAATTAGATAATTTTTTTTGATAAGTTAAAAGTTAAATCTAGAATATTTGAAAAATTGTGCGAATATTCTAAGGATCATGCTTATCAACGATAAACATTTGAACTGTTTGGCGCACACTCTTACAAGTACATTGATAAGCATGCATTTCCTTTAGAAGTGTATCTGCTATTAGAAAGAAAAAAAATTTGTATGCTCAAATAAGCACGATTCTATTCAAACAAAAATAAAAATTGTGGCAACTTCAAACAATACGTATATTGTTCAATAAATTTATAACTTTAAATTATCACTTCGAGGAGCATGCAATTACTTCATCTAACATGCCAAACTTCCTGTAAGATACATGATTTTCTAAACAATAATACTCAAATGTATTTTAATAAGTGTGAAGTTATTCCGATCATAATGAGGATAATTTTAGAAGTTGTTTTCCTAAAGAAGATCTGAATTCAAAACATTTTATTTAAAAAATTGTGCAATTATTTTGAAGAATAGACTTTCATATTCAAAAATCATTTATATTTACATGTTCTCCAATAAATATGTTGAGCATTTGGATTTGAAGAATGCAGCTAGGACTAAAAATAAGATAAATTTAAGTTTTCTTGACTAAAGCTGTTATAATCCATCAGTGTTCAGATCGTTCATTTAAAGAAATTGAAACTTTAATTATTTGGTGATCATCATATTTTTCAAAGACAAATTCTTGATCAATGGAGGAACAATATTACCATTTGTTCAAAAAGATACCAAAGCAAGTGATTGACTCATTTCATAGTAGAAAGAATCGCAAGATATTATTTGATAACATGAATTCCTATTTATCAACGAGCATACAACTGCTCTAAATATTTGCAATTGTCTAAAACATTGTGTATCTTTCAAACTTAAACTTGTCAATATATTAAGTGCATGCTCTTAAGCAAGCAATCTTGCTTATAAGGCGAGATGTAAGTCCCTCCCTTTTGAAGTTTGATCATTTGTTCCCCAAGAATGAAGTTGACTCGACTTTGTTTCATTGATGGATTATTGTGACATCAATTAAAAAACTAGATATTTTTATTTTTTTTTACTTTCCACATGATCAAGTATCTTGACCATTGAAAAGATAAAGTTGATAACTCGAACTCAAGATTGAATCTCACAAAAGATTTTCTCTTACTTTTACATATGATCTTCAATGTCTCTTCAATGTCTTTTGGAGAATTTTCATTGCTTAAATAAAATGTGAATCCCAACTCCAAATGTGATATTCATTTGCAAGTTCTATCTATACAATCCAATCATTTACATACAGGGTAGATTCAACAAGGTTTATAATGCAGTGGATCCCCAAATAAATTTAAATAATATTTTGTTTATGAACCTAATCTTTTGTCAGCAAGTAACCAAAGTTGAGAAGGTCGAACCTGAAAAATTCAATAATACAAAATGCTCTTGCAATTTGTGTGATTTCTGCACATCATAATCGAAGTGAGTACTTTTCAAAATCAAACTTCTAAATTGCAAATGCAAATGAAGTAAACAATATATCTCGATGATGATCATGTTAAAGGAAATTTCAATCAGACAAAATCATATTTTTGAAATTCTCTAAATCTTTATGCACCTAATTTTTGCACGAAACTAAAAAAATCACAAAAAATATTTTGAAATTTAAAATATTCAAGTGAAATTATTATCATAAGCTAAGCATAAAACACAGTTATTTGGATTTTCTCAAAGGCTTCTTGTTATTTGATATTTTCTTTTTATTATTAGGTTTTGACATTCAAACAGATCTTTTAAATTTTGTGCATGGTACTGAACTCAGCAATTTTACTTTCTTCTTTTTCGTCAACAGATGACGCCAAAGGAGGCCTTCAGGATGCTTTCCCACAAGTTTCATGGTAAAGGGCCTGGAAAGATGAAACAAGAAAAGCGTATGAAGCAATATTTGGAAGATTTAAAGACTAAACAGATGAAAGCCTCGGACACGCCATTATTAGCAATGGAAAAAATGAGAGAAGCTCAATCTAGACTGAAAACCCCTTACCTCGTACTCAGCGGACATGTGAAACCAGGGTAAAACATAGTTTTGCTTTATTCTACATTGCTTGTTTTGAATTACTTGTATTTTAGAAATTATTAACCAAGCATTTTTAATAAGAAATCATTTAAAAACAAGGATTGATAAGAAGCATGAAGTTAGAAAAGTGAATTTAACCGTGAAGATGATGCACAAATTATGTTGGTATTAGTGTTAGGAAGATTCGTAATTAAGTGATAGAAATTTATTTAGCATTAAAGTATAGGAAGCACAAATTTTTTTTTTTTTCCATATGACTTCAATTAGTCTTGAGAAAGAATATGATTAGATTGGGTGTTTGCTTAGGAAAAAAAAAGTTTTTGAAATGTATATGATTATGATTATTTAGCATTAAAGTTTTTGACGGTTTAAGATTCTTTAACGAGAAGATAACATTTATAGGGAAGGATTTGAAACCATATGTTACATTGATAGAAATTTTATGGGAAGATCCGAGCAAAATAGATTTATTTCCTTGAACTAATTCTCTGCATTCTTCTGCTACTGTAGGCAAACCAGTGATCCAAGGAGTGGCTTCGCAACAGTGGAGAAAGACAATCCAGGGAGCTTGACTCCAATGCTCGGGGACAAAAAAGTCTGTATTCATTTATCAATGCAATTTTATAGCATTTTATGTTCATAAGAAGATTTGTGTCACATACAAGTGACTTGTCCAATTAAAGGGCTCATCAAACTGCAATTTTATCTTGATTTTAGAGAACAAGACTTGTTATTATTTACTTGCATTGGACTGCCCATTAAAGCACTACTTCAATTGTGCTTTGATACTCTGAATATTTTTAAACATCGACCCAAACCGGGCTCTCACTATTAAGAGAGTTGTGGGAAAGTCTCAAGATGTTGAGATCATCTTGATCCGTATATTTTAGGGACATTTACATACATACTACGTAATTCTATCTAGCTACATATTTCACACGAAAACTTCCATATCTATACGCACAACACTCAATTCTTTCATATAACACAAAAAATAACACTAACTAGCACCTTTTTAGAAGTCAAATACATATTTTCATGCATAGGTATAGTGCTATAAGTTTATGTTTGATATATGTAAATGCGTAAGAATTGAATGCTATGAATGTAAACTTCTCTATATTTTAATTTTAAAATTCTTCCACGTGGCCCCGTTGCCATTGTTTTGCAAATCGTGAAAGAACCTTGCTTATTTTGAATGAAAAACTTGGTGGGATCAAACTAGCATTTCCATGACTGGTAAGGTTCTCGGTCTTTTGGGGAATTCACGCTCTTGTCTGCCTTATGGTGATTTGATGGCTTACAAAATATCATGTCTTTTATTGAATTCTTTGATCATGATTATAATTGTTTGGACATTTCCTGTTTAAAATTAAATAAAAAAAAAGACTTTTAATGGAAGCAACTCTAATTATGGATTTTGCAGGTTGAGCGTTTTCTTGGTATAAGTAGCAGACAGGACTCTGACAGCATGGGCCCTCCACCAACAAAGAAGCCTAAGATGTAAATCCATGGCAACTCTAGCAGTTCCCTGTAGCAGGAGTATGCTATCTACTACAGGCATTTTGAAGCACAAGGCGCAGCTTTATTGAGGTCAAATTACTCGTCAAGAAGTCTATGTAACTTTTGTTTCTGAAGGGGATTGGCAATTATCTTCGCGAAGGTTCTTTCATATTCTGTAAAGTTCTCAACTCATTGGGAGCTGCAACACTATTATCAGCGAACTAATTTCTTTTTTATAGTTTATTTCTTTAACGATATTATTATGTTCTTTACTCCAGAGAGTGCTTATTGTAACTGTATAGCTTGTGAATTGTGATAACAGGGCAATACCAAGGTCAATATGATTTTTTTTAGTGAAGATAGCCTGTATTTGATTGCTGTAATGATGTAAGCTTGTACTGCTTGCTGGGAGATTGATTAGCTGCTCGAGTATTATTCTAGTAACAAGCTTTGATAACAGTGCAATATCTACGTCAGCGTGATTATCTTTAGATTTTTGAGTTGGGAAGTTGCACGTAAGCGCATTTCATCCCGATAATCTACAAATCGGTAGAGTAGAGAATTCTCGACAGGAAGCTTTAGACTCTGATGTTTGATTAGATTGTTTTTTTTAATTTAAGAGGATCATTCTAGTGTAGTATTTCTGCTGTGTGATTTTTTAGCTTTCATGTGTTAATTTGTGTTGCCTTGCTGTTCTGGCATTCGATAGTAACTGCTGTACATCAGTATATGTAATAATTAATTTTTGAAAAATTTAATAAATTTTGACAACTTAAAATCCATTTCAATTTTTGCACCACTCACATTTCCGAGTTAATTTTATAAGATGATGCGTGTTGAATTAAGCAATTTGATATAAAATACTATATATTAATTATGAATAGATTGGAAGATATAAAATTTAGAAGTTATAAGTTTTATTAAATTAGTTATAGTTAATTAATTCTTAATCTTATGCTAATCAAACATCTTCACCGTAGTTAATCAACATTCTTTCGCCTTTTATTCCTTCGTTCATCGAATAGGGTTAGATGTGAGCTTAAAAAAGTTCTCCCTCATTTTTCTCTCGCGAACTACCCTCTCCCTGTTCGTTTTGTGCATAGCAGTAGTAGAAGGGGTTGTAACCGTTGCTACAGTGCAAGGGAGAGAGTAGCTGTAGGTTGCAGGCAAACCGAGTGGCACCTGGGTTAGTGCATCTCGCTGTCTAGGGCTCCGTGGTGAACAACAATGATACGAATTCTTCTCTCTCGCTATTTTAAGCTTTCAGTTTCTTCCGCACTTTCAAATTGAAGTTTGTCTTATTTTCCGTACTCTTCATTTTTTGGTAACTGTCAAAAGCGCCGATTGTGTGTCGGAAGCGCCGAACGTCTTTTGCAATTTTCCAAAAAGGTTCTAGCACGATATCAGCATGAGTGAAGTGTGGTTGGAGGTGATAGAAAGTGAATTTGATAGTTTTGGAGAAGGATTAGTCGTCGAGAAAGCTGTTTAAGGTATATTTTTGTAAATCATTTCTATTTTTTGGTTAAATTACGTTTTGGCCAAAATATCTTTAAATCTTAAGTTAATTGTGGATTTTATGTTGTTTACTTAGGTGACAGACTCGAGGGGCGTGTGGATATTTACTATAAAGCGATCCTGTAAATTTTAGGTAAATTAATCCTAAATTAGGAAGATTAATTTGATTAATATAAATTGCTTAAATTTAAAAAAAGTTCAATATTATGTTTTATAGGTTGTTGAGCTCTTTAGAAAAGTTATCACAACCTCCAGCTAGATATCAAAGATTAAGAGTTTATCGTGGCAACTGGGATGAGTAATTATATTTCTAAATTTCAGATTATATGTTTGACTTCATATATGCTCTAGTTTAATCAAATCATTCATTTTGTTAGATATAAAAGATATGCACGATAAACATAATAAGAAAAGATGTGCATGCATAAAAGATATGCATTAGATGAATGATTTTTAGATAAACATTATATGTAAGATAGAAATGTAGGAGAGATGCATTATATAAGTAAGAAATATGTATGAGAAATATATTGGTAAAAGATATGCATGAGATTGATATATAAATGATATGAAAATATGTCTAATGATAGTTGTACAATAGAATAAATATGTATGTCAGTAAATGCTTAATGATGCCTCATAATAATATATGTATGAAGAATGAAATAGTTTAGATGTGAATGCTTGCATGTATATGTTCAAAGGAAGATTTCACTCTCTAATGGTACAGACATGGGACGCCAGTGTACGTGCTTGCATAGAGTTTTTCTACAAACCCAGACAATTGTGTTGACTGGATAATATCGGTTAGGGGCAATTAAGAGCTTTTCATCCTTAGACAATTGCGATGTGTAGATCGCTAACAGTTGTGCCGGCGGGAGCCAGCCAGATGGTGATCCTCATAAGGACATATATTTATGTAAAGTATAAAGTAAAATTAATGTTAAGATAAATGCATACAAAATATTAGTGTTTGTTTATTTAGAAAATGTCATTGATGCATGTATTAACATATATCACATTACTTATAAATATAACTCAGATTGCTTATAAACATATGACAGATTGCTTATAAACATATGTCAGATTGCTTAAAAATAAATATGAAAGACCAACATATTATGTGATTTATTATAAACTCACATATATATGATATTTTTTTTCTTGGATTTCTGTAGTTTAGAAATGTAATTACTCTTAGATTATTTTTAGACAACTCATTATATTGCTTTAATATTATTTTTAGGTTTTAAATACTTGAACAAGTTGAATAGAAAAACAGCAGATATATACAGAAGACGAGAACAATAACGAGAAAGATTCAATTTTTATTTTATTAATTTTAATTGTTTTCTTAAGTGGCTCTTTCATGTATTATTTGAATATTAATTTATTAGTGATAAAATTAGAATAACAGAGAATTTCCACCACCCGACCGTCCGTTTCCGTCTTAATTAACTCCAAGCCTCGAGCCAATTCGTGATAGTATAATTATAGTTTTGGTGAATTATATCAATAATAATTAGTTTTTATAATAATTAGTTTTTAGCAGAACTTTAGCAATATAAAATAATAAAACACTAAAAAGGCATAGTATGTGAATCTAATCAATAATACTCATTAAATGTCCTTTATTTTTTAAAATGGACAAACCACCTCGCCAAAATTCTCATAAGAAAATAAAAACCCATTTTTTGGCATTCATTTGAAGCAAGAAATCAATTTTAGTTAATGGTAATGGATACAAATGGAACATAATTGTGGTATAGAGGAAGACTTAAAACAGTGATGTGCACATGTTCGGTTTTTGGACATCAATCATGTTTGTAATAATTATAAGATTCACATGGATATAACTTAATGTTGAGATGCAGTGAAATAAAATGAGGCTGACTTTAAATATGGGCGTAGCTATGTAACATAAACTATGATCAATAATAGCCCAACTTTAGTATCTATTGTATGCATTCAATTAGGATCGAGTGGAGCTTGCTAAGTTTTGGGAATAATGACTATTGATAATGATAAAGTATATTAATGAAATGAAATGAGGTTGACTTCAATAAACTGTAGTATGCCTTCTCAAAGAGCAATTTAAGATGTACATCAGAGGGTTTAAACTGTTGTTAATGTTTACCCATAATAAGGAGAGTAGGGCTCTAGTTGTTGAGTATAAACCTATTGAGGAGCAAAAACTCGAGTAATGGTGAACGCATAAAATTTGGAACACTAGGAGATGATGAGATAAAGGATGAGACAAGATTTAATAGAGGAATGATAGAAAGATATAGAAGATGATGATGGTATTATGAGAAACATGATATCAATAGAGATAAATTTGATAAATAGATGAATTTTAACTCTTATAATTTTTATGAATAAGACCATCTATAGATATTATCTTATTTAATCTTACTATTATTTTATGCTAAATTGTAACATTATGGAATATTTTTTTTTAGCATCTATAAGATTAGTGATTGGCCTTTAACAATAATAACAAATTGAAAAAGAGTTAATGAAAATAGCCACAATCATCACCATGACTAACATTTGTTCTAATGGGAAATTTGAAAACAAACATGAGAAAGGTAGCAGGATTAAGGATAGGGGTGGGGGAGGGGGGAGGGGGGAGGGGGGAGCTTTAGAATAACTAATGCCATACTAGAGAGTTATAGCCTATGTACTTAATGCAGGTGCCTTTGTATGGATAAATATAAAGAAAAATAATGGCAAGAGAACATCTACAATTGATGAGAATATATCATAGTAATACAATCAGTTTTATAATCTGACTCTTTTCATTTGATGACAAAATTTTAGTTTTAAAAAAATAATAAAAATGGGCTTCGTAGCTTCACAGAATTCATCAATTAGTAGTCATTGAATGAAACACATAAAAACACTGAAAAATAACTACAAATGTGCTACTCTCTGTCAACACAATAATTGCTAAATTATATAGTTGTAATAAACATTTACAGAGAATATTTGTAAAATTTATAAAGGGATAATTTTCACATACCACGAGCATCATTTTCTCAATAATTACTGAAGAAAAGTGTATGGCTTTAAAATCAAAGCAAAATATAGTGGTTAAATTACAATAGAGACATAGAACAATATATCATTGTGACAAAAGGTGCTCATGCATTTCATGCCTGGAAATTTATAAAATTGAAGCACATTCAAAATACCCCATAGACCATAGTTCAAGTTTTAGGGTAGAGATATCAAAGCAATCGATCAAACTGGAACTTCAATGGGAAAGTTTAAGGAAAAAATGACAAAAACAAAAAGCAGTTACAAGGATCCAGGAATTGATAACTTTCAACTCCAATAAGCAGCAGTCATGAATGATTTGTTAGGCAAACTCACTTCCTTGAATGGGTTAATATTCTGCTTATCAAAACTTCCTTCTTCCGAGTGACTTGTAGGCTGTGCGCTGTAAGGTAGATCTTCAGTTCCATCACGGTTAGATCCTTGAGCTTTCCATTGTCAGCAAGATCAACCCAATCATAACTTGCAGACTCCTTTAAAGCGACTTCATAAATTGCTTTTCACTTCTTGGATGCCTCAGTGATTGAATCCTTCTTTGCAGCTTCTTCATGATCATGGTTTTCTCCATAGACAACAACTTTAAACTCCTCAATCACACGCACTACGCCCGACCTCCTCATGCCTTCTTCATCATGCAAAGTTTCATCCTTAACATTGGGAACCTCATCTTCGCCCATCGCTAAAGCCTGCAACACTCCATAGTGTCTCTGCAGGGCGGGATTTGAAAATTGACAGACTGAAAAGTCCTTCAAATCTATTCTCTTTAACAAAGCAGAAGCTTTCTTGATTTGACCATATGTCGCCCAAGGTGCGCCTCCAGTATGAATCA